AGTTCCAGATACATTCCACTGATACCAGTATCCAGATACATTCCACTGATACCAGTTTCCAGATACATTCCACTGATACCAGTTCCAGATACATTCCACTGATACCAGTTTCCAGATACATTCCACTGATACCAGTTCACAGATACATTCCACTGATACCAGTTTCCAGATACATTCCACTGATACCAGTTTCCAGATACATTCCACTGATACCAGTTCCAGATACATTCCACTGATACCAGTTCACCAGATACATTCCACTGATACCAGTTTCCAGATACATTCCACTGATACCAGTCCAGATACATTCCACTGATACCAGTTTCCAGATACATTCCACTGATACCAGTTTCCAGATACATTCCACTGATACCAGTTCCCAGATACATTCCACTGATACCAGTTTCCAGATACATTCCACTGATACCAGTCATCCAGATACATTCCACTGATACCAGTTTCCAGATACATTCCACTGATACCAGTTTCCAGATACATTCCACTGATACCAGTTTCCAGATACATTCCACTGATACCAGTTTCCAGATACATTCCACTGATACCAGTTTCATAACATTACAGATACCAGTTTCATGTACATTCCAACGATACAGTTTCAGAACATTCCACTATACAGTTTCCAGATACATTCATGTACATTTCCAGAACTTCCACTGATACCAGTTCCAAATACATTCCACTTATACATTTTAAATAAGCAAAACAGGAAAATTAAATGTCATATACAATTCAAAGACATTCCACAACAGTAAGGAAACGGAATTCGCAAGGTACAACCAAACACCGTAATCGATTTGGCAACAGTAAGCAAACTAGCGAAGGACTACATTCAACGGTATACTAGCAATTAAGAACATTCCACAAACGGTAGGGAAGCTACATCAACGGTAAACAGTATACTAGCAATCATTAAGACATTCCACAACGGTAGGGAAGCTACATCAACGGTATACTAGCAATCTAAGACATTCCACAACGGTAGGGAAGCTACATCAACGGTTATACTAGCAATCTAAGACATTCCACAACGGTAGGGAAGCTACATCAACGGTATACTAGCAATCTAAGACATTCCACAACGGTAGGGAAGCTACATCAACGGTATACTAGCAATCTAAGACATTCCACAACGGTAGGGAAGCTACATCAACGGTATACTAGCAATCTAAGACATTCCACAACGGTAGGGAAGCTACATCAACGGTATACTAGCAATCTAAGACATTCCACAACGGTAGGGAAGCTACATCAACGGTATACTAGCAATCTAAGACATTCCACAACGGTAGGGAATCTACAGCAACGGTAAACAGTATACTAGAAATCATTAAGACATTCCACAACGGTAGGGAAGCTACATCAACGGTATACTAGCAATCTAAGACATTCCACAACGGTAGGGAAGCTACATCAACGGTATACTAGCAATCTAAGACATTCCACAACGGTAGGGAAGCTACATCAACGGTATACTAGCAATCTAAGACATTCCACAACGGTAGGGAAGCTACATCAACGGTATACTAGCAATCTAAGACATTCCACAACGGTAGGGAAGCTACATCAACGGTATACTAGCAATCTAAGACATTCCACAACGGTAGGGAAGCTACATCAACGGTATACTAGCAATCTAAGACATTCCACAACGGTAGGGAAGCTACATCAACGGTATACTAGCAATCTAAGACATTCCACAACGGTAGGGAAGCTACATCAACGGTATACTAGCAATCTAAGACATTCCACAACGGTAGGGAAGCTACATCAACGGTATACTAGCAATCTAAGACATTCCACAACGGTAGGGAAGCTACATCAACGGTATACTAGCAATCTAAGACATTCCACAAATAAACTAGATAAAAACTATTAATTTACGTAAGACAAAAGGCATCAGGGAATTTTATGAACGTCTAACAAGCCTTTTGATGAGAAAGATTTCGTGAGAGGCTGCTTAAGGATGTTCTGGGGTGAAGGTGAGGTCGTGCTGAGGTGAAGGTGAGGTCGTGGTGAGGTGAAGGTGAGGTGGTGCTGGGGTGAAGGTGAGGTCGTGCTGGGGTGAAGGTGAGGTCGTGCTGGGGTGAAGGTGAGGTCGTGCCTGGGTGGAGGTGAGGTCGTGCTGTGAAGGTGAGGTCGTGCTGAGGTGAAGGTGAGGTCGTGCTGGGGTGAAGGTCAAGTCGTGCTGAGGTGAAGGTGAGGTCGTGCTGGGATGAAGGTGAGGTGGTGCTGGGGTGAAGGTGAGGTGGTGCTGGGGTGAAGGTGAGGTGGTGCTGGGGTGAAGGTGAGGTCGTGCTGGGATGAAGGTGAGGTCGTGGTGAGGTGGTGCTGGGGTGAAGGTGAGGTGGTGCTGGAATGAAGGTGGTGGTGGTGCTGGGATGGTGGTGGCGGTGCTGGGGCGAAGGTGAGGTGGTGCTGGGATGGCAGTGAAGTCGTGCTGGGATAGCAATAAGGTCATGCTGGGATAGCAATAAAGTCGTGCTGGGATAATAAGGTCGTGCTGGGATAGCATTAAGGTCGTGCTGGGATAGCAATAAGGACGTGCTGGGATAGCAATAAGGTCGTGTTGGGATAGCAATAAGGTCGTGTTGGGATAGCAATGAGGTCGTGCTGGGATAGCAATAAGGTCGTGTTGGGATAGCAATAAGGTCGTGTTGGGATAGCAATAAGGTCGTGTTGGGATAGCAATGAGGTCGTGCTGGGATAGCAATAAGGTCGTGTTGGTATAGCAATAAGGTCGTGCTGGTATAGCAATAAGGTCGTGCTGGTATAGCAATAAGGTCGTGCTGGGATAGCAATAAGGTCGTGCTGGTATAGCAATAAGGTCGTGCTGGTATAGCAATAAGGTCGTGTAGAACAAGAATACGACCCACACCAGCTGACCAACACTCAGGTACCTACTGATGGCTGAACAGGGCCAGCAGGTGTCATATGTAAACACGTCCTAATGGTTTTCAGCCGTACTGGGGATCGACCCCCGAACCTCAGTGTATAAGAAGAGTGCGCTAGCGATCGAGCTAAGGGACACACGAGTGTAATAGGAATCCGCTCACTTCTGATCTCCATACTACGGAATACTATACGTTTCGCCTACTCATTAGGCCTCTTCAGTCGGGTATGGAATAGTGAGCATAAGTAGTAGTGACGTAAAGACGAGGTGGTCAGTCCCTCAGCCTGGAGAAGAGTTCTGCTCCATAGTCTGGAACATTGCACCAGACTATGGAGCAAAACTCTTCTCCAGGCTGAGGGACTAACCCCCTCAAAACTACGTCCTCAAGGATGATGGACTGATTACACCGTCTTCACAACTCCACTGCTTCCGCTGCCTCCTCTGTACTCGACTGAAGAAGCCTGCTGTGTTGGCGAAACGTTTCGCAATAAAGATACCTAACTGCTACACACTTGTCCTACTTATCAACAGGTCAGTAATGTATACCATTTAAATATTCACCTTCAGATTACGCAGCTCAGTTCTGGTCTCCATAGGATGTAATACGTGAGCCATAGGATGACAAGTATAATGCCGATAGGTGACGAAGAATCTATAGGATAGTGGGGTCTATAGGATGAAGAATTGAGGCCTATGAATTGGGGACTATAGGATGTAGAATTGAAGCCAATAGGATTAATTGGGGACTATAGGATGTAGAATTGAAGCCAATAGGATGAACTGGGGCCTATAGGATGAAGAATTCAAGCCAGTGGGGTAAATATTAGGCCTAGAGGGTGAAAAAATAAAGTTTATAAAAACAAGAGGCCTATAAGATGAAATTTTTTTTATAAGGCTTTTGTATGTAGAAAGAGTCGTGAAGTCTCTACAGGAATGACAACACACCTGGTGATGGAATGACAACACACCTGGTGATGGAATGACAACACACCTGGTGATGGAATGACAACACACCTGGTGATGGAATGACAACACACCTGGTGATGGAATGACAACACACCTGGTGATGGAATGACAACACACCTGGTGATGGAATGACACACCTGGTGATGGAATGACAACACACCTGGTGATGGAATGACAACACACCTGATGGAATGACACACCTGGTGATGGAATGACAACACACCTGATGGAATGACACACCTGGTGATGGAATGACAACATACCTGATGGAATGACACACCTGGTGATGGAATGACACACCTGGTGATGGAATGACACACCTGGTGATGGAATGACACACCTGGTGATGGAATGACAACACACCTGGTGATGGAATGACAACACACCTGGTGATGGAATGACAACACACCTGGTGATGGAATGACAACACACCTGGTGATGGAATGACAACACACCTGGTGATGGAATGACAACACACCTGATGGAATGACAACACACCTGGTGACGGAATGACAACACACCTGGTGATGGAATGACAACACACCTGGTGATGGAATGACAACACACCTGTTGATGGAATGACACCACACCTGGTGATGGAATGACAACACACCTGGTGATGGAATGACAACACACCTGTGATGGAATGACAACACACACCTGGTGATGGAATGACAACACACCTAGTGATGGAATGACAACACACCTGATGATGGAATGACAACACACCTGGTGATGGAATGACAACACACCTAGTGATGGAATGACAACACACCTGGTGATGGAATGACAACACACCTGGTGATGGAATGACAACACACCTGTTGATGGAATGACAACACACCTGTTAATGGAATGACAACACACCTGATGGAATGACACACCTGGTGATGGAATGACAACACACCTGGTGATGGAATGACAACGCAACACACCTGGTAATGGAATGACAACACACCTGGTGATGGAATGACAACACACCTCCTGGTGGAATGACCACAACACACTTGGTAATGGAATGACAACACACCTGGTGGAATGACCACCTCTAAGAATGACATAAACGGGAAACAGGAGAATTTATGAGGCCTACCTCGATAGCTGGGTGAATTTTTAGACCTACCTCTGTGGGTGGGGGGCACTGGGGTCCACCAGGGGAGCGGGCCCAGCAGCGGGTCTACCGCACGGTGCCTGCAACAATAACAACAACGACATTAATACCGTTTACAATATCAAGGTAAACTATTAAACAATATTACTGTGAACTCTTATATGCCCATGGTTTCTTCATATATATATATATATATATATTATATATATATATATATATATATATATATATATATATATATATATATATATATATATGCAAAACAACCACTCTGAAAGAATAGAGAAATTCCAAGCGCTTTCGTGACTATTCACATTATCAAGGACCTATGAAAGTAAAGCATCCAAGGAAGCTATATAAGGGGTCTGGTCGGCACCTCACTATCAGATCCCACAACGGTTTAAACACGTGACGCGCGGCGAGCCAACTTGGAAAGGTCCTTGGCACAACTCACCCCACAAACTATTCTACCCAAGAAATAAGAAATTTTAAAGATTATTTGTCCAGTGTATTATTAAATTCTTCCCAAATTCTATTAATTATAAATGGATCTAATTTATATAAACCAAAGGAAATATTTGGTTTATATAAATTAGATCCATTTATAATTAATAGAATTTGGGAAGAATTTAATAATACACTGGACAAATAATCTTTAAAATTTCTTATTTCTTGGGTAGAATAGTTTGTGGGTGAGTTGTGCCAAGGACCTTTCCAAGTTGGCTCGCCGCGCGTCACGTGTTTAAACCGTTGTGGGATCTGATAGTGAGGTGCCGACCAGACCCCTTATATAGCTTCCTTGGATGCTTTACTTTCATAGTTCCTTGATAATGTGAGTAGTCACGAAAGCGCTTGGAATTTCTCTATTCTTTCAGAGTGGTTGTTTTGCATATTCTGAAATCACCTGTTTACTGTGATCTTATTGCATATATATATATATATATATATATATATATATATATATATATAGGCAGAACTTGCGATCTTGGCTTAAATAGCAACGTTCATCTTGCCATATAGGACAAGTGAAAATTTGTGTATGCAATAATTTCGCCAAAATCATTCTGAACCTAACGAAAAAAATATATTTCACTGTCTTTGTTTAGTATTATATTATTGTAAACGGATTTAAAATATATTTAGTTGGGTTAGGCTAAAATAAATTGTTCTTGTTATAATAAGGTTAGGTAAGTTTTCTAAGTTCTTTTTGGAGCAAAATTATAAATTTTTACATTAACATTAATGAACAAAATATATCTTTAAACGTATAAGAGAAAATTTTAGAAAGGATTAATTTTAAAATGAAGTTCTTGCTAATGACCAGTTTTACATATTGAGACATATATAATTTTATATTATAATTTAAAATATATTATATCTTAACTATAAAAATATATTATGTATATTTTATATATATATATATTTAATATATATATATAATATATATTTATATGTTATAATATATAATAGTTCATGTTATATAATATATATATTTATTTAATTCATTTATACTAAATATATAAATATTTTATATTATATATTATATTAATATTATATATCTATTTTTAACGTATAAAGAATATAGTTGTAAAATAATTTTTTAAAATGAGGTTTATGTAGTACAGTTTTAATATTATCGGTACAAATTTATATTATATATATTTGATCATAAAAAATATTTGTAAATAAATATTAATCATTAATGAATATGATATAAATATATATCAGTAAGGAATTATTAATATATATATATTATAATGATATATGGCAATATTATATATATATATATATATATATATATATAAAGAATATAAAAATATATATTATATATATATATATAATATTTATCTATAATCATAAATATCATGGAAAAAAGTGAAATGAAGAAATAGGATAAAAAGTGAGGAGCAAATCAATATGATCATCAATATGGTGAAATATTAGTCTAAGGATATGTAATATATGAAGCATAGGCAATAGTGAGAGCAGTACAAATGTAATGATAGATATGTCAGGGACAGAATAGGTGCAGATATGTCAGTACAAAGGTAAGGTAGAAAACAATGTGCAGACTAGCAAAAGGTGGCAAGCGAGACAAGGTGGCAGGGTCGTGACAGACAAAGGTGCAGGAGTGGCAGAACAAGGTGGCAGGACCAGAACAAGGTGGCAGGGGGAGCAGACAAGGTGGCAGGACAGCAGACAAGGTGGCAGGGGAGCAGACAAGGTGAGGCAGGTGGGGGGGAGCACATCAAGGTGGCAGGACAAGACAAGGTGGCAGGGGGAGCAGACAGGTGGCAGGACTAGAGACAAGGTGGCAGGGGGAGCAGACAGGTTGGCAGGGGGAAGCAGAACAAGGTGGCAGGACCAGCAGACAAGGTGGCAGGGGGAGCAGAAAGTGGCAGACAGCAGACAAGGTGGCAGGACAGCAGACAAGGTGGCAGGGGGCAGCAGACAAGGTGGCAGGACAGCAGACAAGGTGGCAGGGGGAGCAGACAAGGTGGCAGGACCAGCAGACAAGGTGGCAGGGGAGCAGACAAGGTGGCAGGGGGAGCAGACAAGGTGGCAGCGGGGAGCAGACAAGGTGGCAGGACCAGCAGACAAGGTGGCAGGGGGAGCAGACAAGGCAGGTGGCAGACGGTGGAAGCAGACAAGGTGGCAGGACAGCAGACCAAGGTGGCAGGGGGAAGCAGACAAGGTGGCAGGGGGAGCAGACAAGGTGGCAGGACGAGACAAGGTGCAGGGAGCAGACAAGGTGGCAGGGGGAGCAGACAAGGTGGCAGGGGGAGCAGACAAGGTGGCAGGGGGAGCAGACAAGGTGGCAGGGAGCAGACAAGGTGCAGGGGAGCAGACAAGTGCAGTGGGGAGCAGACAAGGTGGCAGGGGAGCAGACAAGGTGGCAGACCAGCAGACAAGGTGGCAGGGGGACAGACAAGGTGGCAGGGGGAGCAGACAAGGTGGCAGGGGGAGCAGACAAGGTGGCAGGGGGAGCAGACAAGGTGGCAGGGGGAGCAGACAAGGTGGCAGGGGGAGCAGACAAGGTGGCAGGGGAGCAGACAAGGTGGCAGGGGGAGCAGACAAGGTGGCAGGGGGAGCAGACAAGGTGGCAGGGGGAGCAGACAAGGTGGCAGGGGGAGCAGACAAGGTGGCAGGGGGAGAGACAAGTGGCAGGGGACAACAAGGTGGCAGGGGGAGCAGACAAGGTGGCAGGGGGAGCAGACAAGGTGGCAGGGAGCAGACAAGGTGGCAGGGGGAGCAGACAAGGTGGCAGGGGGAGCAGACAAGGTGGCAGGGGGAGCAGACAAGGTGGCAGGGGGAGCAGACAAGGTGGCAGGGGGAGCAGACAAGGTGGCAGGGGGAGCAGACAAGGTGGCAGGGGGAGCAGACAAGGTGGCAGGGGGAGCATACAAGGTGGCAGGGGGAGCAGACAAGGTGGCAGGGGGAGCAACAAGGTGGCAGGGGGAGCAGACAAGGTGGCAGGGGGAGCAGACAAGGTGGCAGGGGGAGCAGACAAGGTGGCAGGGGAGCAGACAAGGTGGCAGGGGGAGCAGACAAGGTGGCAGGGGAGCAGACAAGGTGGCAGGGGGAGCAGACAAGGTGGCAGGGGGAGCAGACAAGGTGGCAGGGGGAGCAGACAAGGTGGCAGGGGGAGCAGACAAGGTGGCAGGGGGAGCAGACAAGGTGGCAGGGGAGCAGACAAGGTGGCAGGGGGACCAGACAGGTGGCAGGGGGACCAGACAAGGTGGCAGGGGACCAGCAGACAAGGTGGCAGGGGGAGCAGACAAGGTGGCAGGGGGAGCAGACAAGGTGGCAGGGGGAGCAGACAAGGTGGCAGGGGGACCAGACAAGGTGGCAGGGGGACCAGACAAGGTGGCAGGACCAGCAGACAAGGTGGCAGGGGGAGCAGACAAGGTGGCAGGGGGAGCAGACAAGGTGGCAGGGGGAGCACACAGTTGATGCACGAGCCACAGTATTCCGAACACAGTAAAAACAAACATTAAGGCAGGAGAGGGTCGTAGCCCAGCTGACAAAACTTTGCAATATCCGGTTTCGTATAACCATTAACAAGCTCTTTAAACTTTGTCGGAAGTGGCGTGGATGAGTTGTGAATAGCACCATTGTTCCCCATCCCTTGTAAACTCATCCACTGGTGATGCTGGGGCCTTCTAACTCATCCACTGGTGATGCTGGGGCCTTCTAACTCATCCACTGGTGATGCTGGGGCCTTCTAACTCATCCACTGGTGATGCTGGGGCCTTCTAACTCATCCACTGGTGATGCTGGGGCCTTCTAACTCATCCACTGGTGATGCTGGGGCCTTCTAACTCATCCACTGGTGATGCTGGGGCCTTCTATCTCATCCACTGGTGATGCTGGGGCCTTCTAACTCATCCAATGGTGATGCTGGGGCTAACTCATCCACTGGTGATGCTGGGGCCTTCTAACTCATCCACTGGTGATGCTGGGGCCTTCTAACTCATCCACTGGTGATGCTGGGGCCTTCTAACTCATCCACTGGTGATGCTGGGGCCTTCTAACTCATCCACTGGTGATGCTGGGGCTTTCTAACTTATCCACTGGTGATGCTGGGGCTTTCTAACTCATCCAATGGTGATGCTGGAGCTTTCTAACTCATCCAATGGTGATGCTGGGGCCTTCTAACTCGCCCATTAGTGATGCTGGGGCCTTCTAACTCATCCACTGGTGATGCTGGGGCCTTCTAACTCATCCACTGGTAATGCTGGGGCCTTCTAACTCATCCAATGGTGATGCTGGGGCTTTCTAACTCATCCACTGGTGATGCTGGGGCCTTCTAACTCATCCAATGGTGATGCTGGAGCCTTCTAACTCATCCACTGGTGATGCTGGGGCCTTCTAACTCATCCACTGGTGATGCTGGGGCCTTCTAACTCATACCAGGGTCGTTAATCCATGGTACCAGGGTCGTTAATCCATGGTACCAGGGTCGTTAATCCATGGTACCAGGGTCGTTAACCCATGGTACCAGGGGTCATCAACCCATGGTACCAGGGTCATTAATCCATGGTACCAGGGGTCATTAATCCATGGTACCAGGGTCATT